CTTTAATTCTGTTAAAAACTCATTTTTACATAGCATTTTCATTTTTTGATTTCGGAGTCTTACAATTTTTACTCATAATCTCTTTTGAAACGATTAACGGTGACTAGTTTTTGTGTTTCGCAATAGAATAACCACGAACTTGGTGGATCTGTCCAAACATTTGAGAGAGTAGGTATTCTGAGAATAACAACTCAAAAAAATTAAAGGACAATGAAAGAATTTGTGAGAAGTCTTTGTATTGATAAAAATTATTGTGGATCCCTTTCAAAGAGAAATACATTGCTGCAAGTTTTAGTCGGTCGAATCAACTATTTAAAACAAAAAAAAACTCCTAATTCTAAGTGATTTTTATTTATTTTTCATGTTGATTCTTTCATTTTTCCTCAGAGACGGCTAGGTCGGGTGAACGTTGTGGGTCTAAGTGAAATTTGTTTTTCTAGGGTGAAATCTGATTCGTGGGACTAGTTTAAATACTTCTCCAACCGTCTTTCGGACCGGTTCGAATCCAAATGGGTCTGGGTGCTAACCGTAACACCATCAGCTATTATGCAGTACCTTTTTGTCATCAGCATATGGCCTTTGGTATGGATTTTACGTACATTTTGGTGCTGATAAATCGGCTCTAGGAATTAAGCGAAAAAGAAAAAGAAAAATAGCAACAGTGACTGGGATGATGTCACAAAATAGCAATAAGGAGATGCAACGGATCTAGTTATTATCTTCACGTGGTACGTTGCCACGTCAGCGTGATTTTGGTCAGCCGTAACGGACCCCTCACCTCGCTCACTCTCAGGTCAAAGTCAAACCAAATCCCTCCCAGATTCCCCGGCGGAGCGATCTCCCCAGTTCACCGGATGATGACAGGTAACGCCTCTCTCTTCTTGTTCCCTCCGATTCACCATCTCAGTTTTGTGGCGGATGATTGATAGGATCAAGTGGTGGTTCTCTGTGGCTTTCACCGAATCCGAGCAAGAGATGGGGCGAGCTCTTCTTCCTCTTCTACACTCCTTTCTGGCTCACTCTCTCCTTGGGCATCGTTGTTCCTTACAAGCTCTACGAGGTCCCCTCCTAACGATCGGAAACTCCCCTTTTCTCTTTAGAGATCTGAGGATTTGATTAGTTTGAATGAACATAGCTTTTGAGTGGTATTCAGTAAATGTTCCATTTTGTTTGGCAACTTGCAGACGTTCACGGAGTTGGAGTATCTGCTTCTGTCCTTGGTTTCAGCTGTCCCCGCTTTCCTCATTCCCATCTTACTCGTTGGAAAGGTTTACATTTACTCACCCATTTCAAGTTATCATGTGTTGACTCTTGACAATTGTGCTTTGCTGTGAGCTACCACATGATTATCTACTTACTTGCATCCAAACCAAACCTCTCTTGTCTTCCTTAACATTTCTTGCATTCATCGTCTATACATTTCTCAGGCTGACCGAAGTTTGCCCTGGAAGGACCGCTACTGGGTTAAGGCAAGCATTTTTGCTTCCTAGTCTTGGTTTTAAACTATTGCACCAGTTGCTTTACTTAATCAAATCTTGCTGAATTCATTTGTCTAAACAATCTTTGGGTTTGATACCATGCTTTTACTTCATTTGCCTTGGGATGCTCGTGACAGTTCTCGTTCTCGTTCTCATCCCTACTTGTATTGATTCAAACTTATTTCTACCACAGGCAAATCTCTGGATCATTATATTCAGCTATGTGGGAAACTACTTTTGGACCCACTATTTCTTTAAAGTCCTTGGAGCCTCCTATACTTTCCCATCTTGGAAAATGAATAATGTATGCCAAACTAATTTACTGGCTGTGTTCCGTTGAATAGTATTTTTCTTCTTTCCATGAGCTTATGGCAGGTTTATGTCTTCAACAGGTGCCTCACACAACATTCTTCATGACACATGTTTGCTTCCTCTTTTACCACGTTGCATCCAACATGACTCTCCGAAGGTTACGACACGCAACTGCTGATTTACCAGATGCTCTGAAATGGTCTTTTGAAGCTGCATGGATTCTGGCGCTTTCTTATTTCATTGCGTACCTGGAGACTGTTGCTATTGCAAACGTATGTAGTGATTTTCGTTTCTTTAATAGTTCCACAGTAAAAGTTTTTCCATAGCACATTAGTTCTTTAGTTTTGTGTTTCTAGCTAGTTCCCGGAAATCCAGGAGAACACCTTACTTTGTGCTTTATTAATTGATAATTTGCTCTTGAAGTCTGCCTAAAGGCCATGTTTAGCTACTTAGTCATTCATATATTTTTCTTTTTGTTTTAAACGTGTGCAGTTTCCTTACTATGAGTTTGTAGACCGAAGCGCCATGTACAAAGTTGGATGCTTGTTCTATGCCATCTACTTTATTGTCAGCTTTCCAATGTTCTTCAGGTATAGAAACGTCTCAAACAAATACTTTCTATATTTTGAGTTTCTTGATCTTCATCTCATAGAAGAAGTGAATTTGTTTCAGTGTCATGACGGTTGCATATTAAATCTGATAAAGCGGATAAATATTAGATTTATTGGATTAATTGATTGTGTTTTTGCTAGGGTAAAAAAAAAAAAAAAAGGGTACTATAGAGTCTTATATGTAGAACATCGACACTCCAGGTCTGTTCTGAAGTGCTTTGAGGAGTTCTTCGAACTGTTATTCCATCTCTGTGATATGTTCTTCTCATTAGCATTTTGTTTTTTTTTGTCTTTAGTTTCTTTTCTGAAAATTTTCATCTTCATTTCTTACATATATTTCGGTTTCATTTACAGAATACTTGAACTCCTTTTCACATGCTTTTTATTCATTGGGTGTGGGGATTTGCAGGATGGAAGAGAAATCAAGTGATAAATGGGATCTATCCCGAGTAGCTGTTGATGCTTTGGGTGCGGCTATGTTGGTAACAATCATTCTTGATCTATGGCGTCTCTTCTTGGGACCTATAGTTCCCTTACCAGAGGGACAAAAGTGCCTTGAGTCTGGATTACCATGGTTCTCCCATTGAATTCAAAGACCACTGCTTGACCAATTCAAGGAATTAACATTGGACTGAAAGAGAAACCTGCACACGAGTTTCTGTGATCACTTTACGGAATTGGGAAGCAGTTGATGCGATTTTGGGCATGTTTCTGAGTTTTTTCTTCTCCCAGATGACAGCTGCTTTGTTATTTTCTTTTCTTTTCTTTTTGTGGTTTCTCCTTGATAGACTTGCTTCCCAATGAAACCTTTGGTGTTATCATTTACAGACCAGAATGGAACTTTTTGATTTGTTGTGGAATTCATGAATTGGTTCCATTGTTGAAGTTCCCTCATGGTGACCAACTGAGATGGGAACCGCACAATCAGAACACTAGTCTCTTAACCTTGTTTTGATTGTTTCAATTCACCCTAAACCCCATTTTCATTGTGGGATCAGCATTACCTGGTCCTGTGCGTATATGAACTCATCCATGTTCAGAAGTTGGATATTTGCAATTTGCAACTTCCACTAAGAGAAAATTGATAAGATGTTATAAACCATACTAAAACTATATGTAAAATAAGATCAAGATAAATATCTTTATGGATAAAGGAAAAAAAATGGGAGAGGGAAGGAGTAGTGGAAATATTATTACGAGGAATATGAGAGATTGTCTATACAACTAATACATACGTTCTTTTATATATATATGTTAGATAGTATCACTGGGGTCCAACTTTTTCACTCCTTCAAGTCGATTATTTTACAGCAAAAGGGATTTTTTTCAAAGGTTCTGAGAGGCAAGCCACTTTAAATATATATAAGAAGATGATTTATTCACCAAAATTTGTGACACAATGAGGTATTAGACAAAATTTTGTTTTTGTAGTAGGCACAGAAAAATGATTTTAAAGAAAAATGTAACCCATTATTTTTCAGATTAAAAAGAAACAATAATAACAATGTCATGAAAACTATAATGTTGGTATTACTATTGTTTTATAGGTAGGAAAATACTCCAAGCTTGAACCGTTTTATCACTAACTTTTGAAGGTCGATCACTAACTATATTCTTTAGAGCTCAGTTTTCATTCATCAGAAAAATTGGTTCAAGTGAATGGATCAAACGGATATTATTAAGAAAAATCCAAGAGAGCCCTTTTTGTCAAAAATACGTTGGCGACATCTCTGACCAAATACATCCCCAAAATCTTGGAGAGACATATTTCGACCATAATAGCATTTTTTGATTTTATATTGAGTTTTTTAAAGATCCACCTGCCCTACATAAGCTTAGAAGAACACAAAGAGGCTTCAATCCTAATCCTGATTACGATGATATTACCTCAACCTTAACATCAGACATTCCTTCTTAATTTGATAACATCTACGAGCACAAAAAGACACAAATGCATTTAAGGCTTATCCAGATTGGCTCCGATCCTCCCATTGTGTTAAAGGTTTATCGTTATGAATATGATGATGACGAACACCAAATTCGAGCATCTAGAGGAAACCCACTAAGACAAAATAATATCCACACAACACTCAAATCCATAATGGTAGTTTTGCCTATTGCCCACGAGCAGAATAAGCGAATTCTACTTGGTTTATATACAAATACATCAACAGATTCCTCCTTGATATACAACAAACACTTGACCTTTATATCAAATCGAAGTACAGACACTAGAGTTTACAACCTGAAAGTAAGTAATATACTCAAACAACAGTTTTGCTCTTTTCTTGCCACAAGTTCCTTCCTCTCTATAAGTAAAGGATCTCAAAATCAACTGTGACTAACCAACCGACCAAAGACCATTTGATTCAAGAGCATAGTCATTATATAAAACAAAACCCCTTGGTCATATAACATGATAAGTATTAAGACATGTACATAAGAATTTCGACACAGTATATTAAAGGGTGTAAGTCCGATTTTCACATATATATAACTTAAACCCTGACTGACTTATAAATTACCTGGCCACTGTCATCTTTCAAACATATAAGATTTGTCCTTCCAGTAAGAGAGCCTTCTCTCCAATGCCTCCCTCTTAAGAACTTTTCCTTCTCGGGTGGTGAATAACCAATTGAGTTCCTTCGAATAGATCCGGTAAGTAACTCTCCAGGTCATCTGGTGTGTACTTTATGTACTTTCCCGAATGCCTACCACCTTCTAGTTGACTCTTATTCCTTCCAAAGAAAGCCCGGTATGCCGGAATTACTTTCTCTGATATAGATATTCTCAATTCTTCACGAAGTTGTGGATCCGGGACCTTCCAAGATGTTTGAAGCCTATATAACTCTTCAAAACTGGCATTAAATCCTCTGAATTTTTCCTTTAAGGCCATCTTGGAGGAATTACTCGAGTTGTTGCTTCTTTGTCCATAACTCGGGCTACCACTTGAGCCTCCGCCCATACTTTCTTCCCTCAAAGCAGATAGCACCTTGCTCCAGGAGGCCCTGAGGTAACCAGTAGCATACTGACGTATCAGTCCTCGCCGTTTTCTAACCCAATCATCACCCAAGAGTTTACCCAACTCAGAGTCTTTCACCTTCTGAACTATGTAGTAAATGTTGTTCATCAAGAACACGTACTGCAGCCCACCATCCTCATACAACTTTGATTTCTCTTCCAGATTTGATTCTAAGGACGTAATCAACCTCAGCATGCGTTTCGCAAGAGGAGACATCTCCTCTGTACAATCATCCCCAGATGTGCCATCTAATTCATCATTCTCCAGAAGCGAATTTAGGGTAGCAGCATAATCCACAATCAATTTCATGTAGTTCATCACGTATCGTATCATCGGATGAACCTCGCCATTTGTCGTGGGTCTCTTTGACGTTTCATTCCTAACATTATTCTCGAACTCAACAAAAGTCCCCCTTGCAGCATCACCCAGAGCTTCCAACACCCCCTTGGCCTCGTTACACACAAAATTGTCAGTGACCATCACCTCTAGGTTCTGGGACACATTAGCCAATGCATCATACATGTCCAAAATCCTAAACAGCTTCTCTGACGATCTCCTACCTATTGCCACAGCCTCTCCAAAATTCAACAACTGCATCACACAGCTTTTGGTTGTCTCGTTGAAGCACACTTCTCTGCTCGATTCTGAAGCGCTGAAAATCTCATCGCATAGCTTTTTCTCACCAGCTAGAAGAACCCTAACAGTGATCTTCATAGCTTGAATCCACTTCTTCATCTTCTCATCCATGGACTTCCAATCTATCTTCTGCACTTCTTCTATGCTCAGCTTCTCGACACCAAGAATCATCAAGCATTCGTCCAAGGCATCACGCCTCACTGTGCTATAAACCTGAACACACTCTTTCTCATAACCAGCACGGATCATCCGCTCCGCAATCTCTTTCAAATCTTCCACTGCAGTCGGATTTATCAAGTCAACCCAAAGATCACAACCTATGCTCCCTCCTCTCTCATGGAACAGCCTCCTCCTACTTCCACTACCACTACCATCTCCATCTGCAACCAAACCAAAATTCTCAAAGTCCTCGACCACATCACCATCTGCAAAGGAGAGAGAAACACGCCGCATGGAGCCATAGAGTCGCTCGGCGTCCAGAGGAACAGTGTTTCGGATCAATATACGCCGGAATTCATCTTCCAGATGAGACATAGCCATCTGCAAAGCACTGTCAGCTCGGTCCACCATGTCAGGCTTGTTCTCGGACGAAAGATCCTCAAGGAGAGAGATAATCTCATCGACAGCTGAAAGAAACTCCGTAGCTTCCTCGGGAGATTCGTCGAAGGAGAGAGAAAAGGAAGAGTAACGGTGGTTACCGGAAGACGAGGAGGAGTGGCGAGAGGAATCGTTGCCACCGTCCCAGCGATGGATAACGGTTTCGGCGGCTTCCAAACGAGCCAAAAGAGCGTCGTTGTCGTCTTCCTCCTGGTTAGACATCACCGTCTTGATATTCGACAAACGGTTATCGAAGCTGGAGAAGATAAGCATCATATCTTCACGAACCTCTTTCGGTGTGTTGAGACTCTTCACGATCTGCTGAGCCGTCGCGAGAACACGATCCTCAGCTCCTCCGGCTCCTGCTCCGGCGCTGATACTCGCCGCCGTGGTTGTCGTCGCGGCCATCAACCAAAATTGGCAAAAATTGAAGAGGAATCTGAATCAGAAATGATCAATTTAGGGTTATGAAAGGGCTAGGGTTTGAGTGGAACAAGACAGCGAAATGGGATGATTTTTTTTTTGGTCTTCCACAAAAAGTCTTCATCGTTTTCGTTGACCCAATTATAGTAGTAACGTTTTTGGTAACCGGCCATTCCCGGTTTACTCCTCTTATACTTCTACAAGTCACAACAAGCGACGACAACAAATACAAATAGACCACAAAATCCGTATCAATTTTTTGTTGTATTATATATACTTTATTCTTTTTTTAATATTAATGAAAACATTTAAATCAGAATACATACAATGGATCTCATATTTGT